CTTTGTTCCTGTCTTGGCTCCATCTTGCTGCTCGGGCTGCGGCGGCAGAGCGAACTCCTTGTTGTTGTTCTCCTGGTCGATGTCGCTCAGCGAGCTGAGGGAGGAGTTCCTGGAGAAGCAGACGGGCGTGTCCTCGATGGCGAACTTCTGCTTCTCGTCCATCGCCGTCGGGTTGCTCGCAGATTTCGTTCGAGGAAAAATGGCGGCCGTCTGCTGCTTCCTCTTCCTGCCTTCTTCTTCTTTACTTTTCTTGTCCTCGTCGTCCTTCTCGCCACCGTCGTCTTCATCAAAGTCGAGTGAGCTCAGCGAGTCGTTGCGTGAGAAGCAGCATGGCGTGCCCTCGATGGGCGTGTAGTGGTGCGGTGAGTCAAAGGCAAACCCTGGTTTTGCTTTGGCAGCTGTTGCCGTGGCGATGCTGTACGGCGCCCGCTGGGGCATCGGCTTTACGGGCGAGGTCGGCTTTTTCTTCTGCTGCTGTGCGCTGAGAGGAGGCGGGGCTGTAGGAGGAAGAGGCGGCGGAAGAGGCGGGGCTTGGAGATTCTCACTGGTCACTGCCGCTCTGATTGGTTTCCTGGGTTTAGCTTTGGGCATGGCGGCGTTGATGCACTCTGCGAGGATGTCGTCACCATTTTCGCCTTCGGGAAGTCCAGCCCTCCGTCTCTGGGCAGAGGTGGGCGGGGCTACAGGTGTGACGGCTGCTGCTGCCTCTTCATTGGGTGGGGAATCTATGGTGAGGTCACTGAGCGAGGTGGCGGTGGAGAAGTTGAGAGGCGTTCCCTCGACACAGTACACTCTGGGTACCTCCTCCGGTGGCGGCGGCGGCACATCCTTCCTCTGCTGTGATTGGGTGCGGCTCTGAGGTGGGAGGAGCTTGTAAACAGGAAGCTGGCTGGGTTTCCGTGGCGCTGCTGGTTTCTTTGGTTTGCGCGAGGACTTGGGCATCGCCATGATGATGCACGCCTCCAGGATCTTACGGTCGTCATCGTTGTCAGACTCGTCAAGGATCGGTTTCGCTGCCTCCACCTCGCTCCTCTCCTCGCTACCGCCATCCTCCTCCTCCGCCTTCTTCATCTCTGCTACGATGAAGGGCTCGTCCAGACTGAGCGCGCTCAGACTGGAGGCTCGGGAGAAGCCGTGCGGCGTGCTCTCCGTGGCGAAGTGAAGCATGACGTCGGCACTGTTCTCCTCCTCCTCCTTCTTGGCCTTTTCCTCCTCTGTTTTCTGTATTGGCGGTGGCGGCGGCGGCGTTTTGGCGCGGCTCGGCGGCATGGTCTGCCCCGGGCTGTCGGGCAGATCGCTGGGGCTGACCACGCCGCTTGGCATGCCGCTGCACGGCTCGCTGGAGCGCACGGAGCTGGCGATGGAGGAGGTGGAGAAGCTGTCGAGGGAGCTGACCGACGTGCAGCGGCTGAACATCAGCGGCGTCTCCTGAGCGTACGGCTGCTCCGGGGGACTTTTAGGCGTCCTGGCGCCTGATGATGCCATGTGGTGGTGGTGATGATGGTGGTGGGCGTGACCTTGATGGTGGTGACCTCGTCTTCCCCGTGTGGAGGGAACAGCTGAAGCTGCGGCGGCGGCGGCGGCGGTCTGGCTCTCTGCCTCTTTCAGCTGCCTCTGCTGCTGCTCGTGTGCGTCCTTCTCGCTGACAGGAAGTGTCGGGTAGTTGTTCCCGCCGCTGCCGCCGCAGATCACGCTCCCACCTCTCCTCCTTCTCCCGATGACATCGCCATCCTCCTCTTCCTCCTCTGATGACAGCGAGGAGAGCGAGCTGCCTCTGGAGAAGCAGATGGGCGTGTCTTCCACACAGTAGGTCTGCGTCGACTCCTGGTTACCTTTTGGCCCCGCCCGATTGGCTGCAGGTGGCGGGGGGCGGAGCTTGTTGGCAGAGGATGGTGGGGCAGGGGGGACGGAGGGGGCGGCGGCCTCCTCTGGCTTGAATAGCGGCTTGTTGGCAGCGTCAGCGCCATACTTAAGGCTGTAGTCGATTGGCTGCTCACCTGTCGAGTCACTGCCGTAGTTAGATGGTCCCGTGGCGACAACGTAGCGTGGCGGCAGGACAGACGCCATGCGGCCGCTGGCTGTGGCCGGGTCGCCGGTGTCATTCCTCCTCCTCAACGGAGCATCCTCCTCGTCGTCCTCATCGCTCTCGATGGCGCCGCGGTGACTGGGACTCTGTCTCCCAGAATTCAGCTGTTCGTCAGAGTACTTCAGGCTGTAGTTGATGGGCGTGTCCAGCTCGGCGCCATCGTCGTCCGCCATGTGGTTGGCACTGCGGATCTTGTGGGCCAGGTCGGCCGGGTACTTCCTGTAGACGCAGCACTTGCTGACTGCGTTCTCGTCTGACGAGTAGAACGGCTCAGACGACGGTTTGGTCTTGCCGCGGATGCCGTATCCGTCTGCGCTTGTCACGCTGTTGAGACTGTCACTGGACGCCCGCACACTGGGCGGGAACACGGGCCGAGCGTACGCCGCTTCCTCGCTCGTCCTCTTTGCTCCATCTCCGTTCTTCGGGCTCGACAACACCGGCGTGTTGGCGTACGAGCGCGTGGAGCTCCCTCCTCCTCCGGCGCCATTACAGCCCCGCCCCTTCCTGTGTGACGCCTTGGGGCTCAGGTTGTCGATGTTGTCGAAGGTCTCTGACAGCTGTTGGGCGTCCAGCTCCTCGAATAACGCCTTCTGTTTGCGGACGTGCAATGACGGGGCGCCGGCGCCCGGAGACACCACGCTCGCGTCCTTGTAGCGTGCCGGCCGATTGGCCATCAGGTTGCGCAGGGCGGCGGCGCTGCCCATGGCGATCATCTTGTGCCGGGAGTGGATGAGGTTGCGCAGCATGCCCACGGCGCCCAGCTCCCATAATGCCTCCTGATCTTTGGCATCTCTGGCTGACAGATTCCAGAGCGTCCCGCAGGCGTTGGACACGATGGTCAAACTGTGAGACTTCAGGTGCTGCAGCAGAGTCGGCAGGCAGCCGTGCTCACGCAGGATCTCCCTGCAAGGCAACACGCAGGGAGAGAGACGGTCAGAGGGTGTCAGGGGAGATTACAGGTTCTTTACAGGTTCTTTACCCCTTACAGGTTCTTTACAGGTTCTTTACCCCTTACAGGTTCTTTACAGGTTCTTTACCCCTTACAGGTTCTTTACAGGTTCTTTACCCCTTACAGGTTCTTTACAGGTTCTTTACCCCTTACAGGTTGTTAACAGCTCTTTACCCCTTACAGGTTGTTTACAGGTTCTTTACCCCTTACAGGTTGTTAACAGCTCTTTACCCCTTACAGGTTGTTTACAGGTTCTTTACCCCTTACAGGTTGTTTACAGGTTCTTTACCCCTTACAGGTTGTTTACAGGTTCTTTACCCCTTACAGGTTGTTAACAGCTCTTTACCCCTTACAGGTTGTTAACAGCTCTTTACCCCTTACAGGTTCTTTACAGGTTCTTTACCCCTTACAGGTTGTTTACAGGTTCTTTACCCCTTACAGGTTGTTTACAGGTTCTTTACCCCTTACAGGTTGTTAACAGCTCTTTACCCCTTACAGGTTGTTAACAGTTGTTTACCCGTTACAGGTTGTTTACCTGTGTGCCTCGTTGGTGGCGATAAGGCTGGAGACGTTGCGCAGGATGCCGCCGCCGCTCTCGATGATGGCGAGCGTGTTGGTGTGGCTGCGGTGTGTCAGTGTTCCCACCAGAAACGCCAGAGCGCCGTCCACGGCGCAGATATCCGCCTTGTTCTCTGTGCAGTGCGCCGACAGGTTCCAGAGCGCGCTCAGTACAGACTTCAGAGTCGATTCCTTCAGGAGTAGGAGCAGAGCAGGCAGCTGATTAGAGAACCAACAAACACAAACAAACAGCACAGCTAAACTGTTGTTGCTTACCTTCTGGACCTCAAGAGCACAGCCCATTAGTGCTCGCACGCTACCGACCTCGCGCAGCGTCTTCTTACTGTTGACATCAGCACGCCACGACAGGTTCCTCAGCACGCTTGCTATCACCTGGCAAACAAATAAATATTCAAACAGGAGACAGATGGATCCATTTAACACAGACTAGCGAGGGGGACAGGCGAGTTACAGGTGAGGGGAGTTACACGTGAGGGACAGGCGAGTTACACAGGCGAGTTACACAGGCGAGGGACAGGCGAGTTACACAGGCGAGGGGAGTTACACGTGAGGGACAGGCGAGTTACACAGGCGAGTTACACAGGCGAGGGACAGGCGAGTTACACAGGCGAGTTGCACAGGCGAGGGACAGGCGAGTTGCACAGGCGAGGGACAGGCGAGGGACAGGCGAGGGACAGGCGAGTTACACAGGCGAGGGGAGTTACACGTGAGGGACCGGTGAGGGACACAGGCGAGTTACACAGGCGAGGGGAGTTACACGTGAGGGACCGGTGAGGGACACAGGCGAGTTCCACAGGCGAGGGACAGGCGAGGCGAGTTCCACAGGCGAGTTCCAGGTGAGGCGAGTTCCACAGGCGAGTTCCAGGTGAGGCGAGTTCCACAGGCGAGTTACAGGTGAGGCGAGTTCCACAGGCGAGTTACAGGTGAGGCGAGTTACACAGGCGAGGGACGGGCGAGTTACACAGGCGAGGGACGGGCGAGTTACACAGGCGAGGGACGGGCGAGTTACACAGGCGAGGGACAGGCGAGTTACACAGGCGAGGGGAGTTACACGTGAGGGACCGGTGAGGGACACAGGCGAGTTCCACAGGCGAGGGACGGGCGAGTTACACAGGCGAGGGACGGGCGAGTTACACAGGCGAGGGACGGGCGAGTTACACAGGCGAGGGACAGGCGAGTTACACAGGCGAGGGGAGTTACACGTGAGGGACCGGTGAGGGACACAGGCGAGTTCCACAGGCGAGTTCCACAGGCGAGTTCCACAGGCGAGGGACAGGCGAGGCGAGTTCCACAGGCGAGGGACAGGCGAGGCGAGTTACACAGGCGAGGGACGGGTGAGTTACACAGGCGAGGGACAGGTGAGTTACACAGGCGAGGGACAGGTGAGTTACACAGGCGAGGGACAGGTGAGGGGAGGGACAGGTGAGGGGAGTTACAGGTGAGGGGAGTTACAGGTGAGGCGAGTTACACAGGCGAGTTACAGGTGAGGCGAGTTACACGTGAGGCGAGTTACACAGGCGAGTTACAGGTGAGGCGAGTTACACAGGCGAGTTACACGTGAGGCGAGTTACACAGGCGAGTTACAGGTGAGGCGAGTTACACAGGCGAGGGACGGGTGAGTTACACAGGCGAGGGACAGGTGAGTTACACAGGCGAGGGACAGGTGAGTTACACAGGCGAGGGACAGGTGAGTTACACAGGCGAGGGACAGGTGAGTTACACAGGCGAGGGACAGGTGAGGGGAGTTACAGGTGAGGCGAGTTACACAGGCGAGTTACAGGCGAGGGACAGGCGAGTTACACAGGCGAGGGGAGTTACACAGGCGAGTTAGACAGGCGAGTTACACAGGCGAGTTAGACAGGCGAGTTAGACAGGCGAGTTAGACAGGCGAGTTAGACAGGCGAGTTACACAGGCGAGTTACACAGGCGAGTTACACAGGCGAGGGACAGGCGAGTTACACAGGCGAGGGACAGGCGAGTTACACAGGCGAGGGACAGGCGAGTTACACAGGCGAGGGACAGGCGAGTTACACAGGCGAGGGACAGGCGAGTTACACAGGCGAGGGACAGGTGAGGGGAGTTACAGGTGAGGCGAGTTACACAGGCGAGTTACAGGCGAGGGACAGGCGAGTTACACAGGCGAGGGACAGGCGAGTTAGACAGGCGAGGGACAGGCGAGTTAGACAGGCGAGGGACAGGCGAGTTACACAGGCGAGGGACAGGCGAGTTACACAGGCGAGGGACAGGCGAGTTACACAGGCGAGGGACAGGCGAGTTACACAGGCGAGGGACAGGCGAGTTACAGGTGAGGGGAGTTAGACAGGCGAGTTAGACAGGCGAGTTAGACAGGCGAGTTAGACAGGCGAGTTAGACAGGCGAGTTAGACAGGCGAGTTAGACAGGCGAGTTAGACAGGCAAGTTAGACAGGTAAGGGACAGGCGAGTTACACAGGTGAGTTACACAGGTGAGGGACAGGCGAGTTACACAGGTGAGTTACACAGGTGAGGGACAGGCGAGTTACACAGGCGAGTTAGACAGGCAAGTTACAGGTGAGTTAGACAGGCAAGTTACACAGGTAAGGGACAGGCGAGTTACACAGGTGAGTTACACAGGTGAGGGATAGGCGAGTTACACAGGTGAGGGACAGGCGAGTTACACAGGTGAGGGACAGGCGAGTTACACAGGCGAGTTAGACAGGCAAGTTACAGGTGAGTTAGACAGGCAAGTTACACAGGTGAGGGACAGGCGAGTTACAGGCGAGTTACACAGGTGAGGGATAGGCGAGTTACACAGGTGAGGGACAGGCGAGTTACACAGGTGAGGGACAGGCGAGTTACACAGGTGAGTTTACCTGCTGCAGGTCTTCACTGTCAGACTTGAGCTGAGCCACCATCGCTCTCATACAGCCCTTCATGGAGCACAGCGTGGCCTGAAAATAACAACAGAAAGCTGTAATCTGATTGGCTCCTGAGAGAGAAATGAGCAGGGATCAGGGGTGAAAAGGTGACAAAGCTCTGGGTCTCTAAGCCCCTAACGCCCTCACTACCGCCGTAACGTTACACCGCGTGTCAGCTAACATGTTTCCTGTTTATTTAGCGGCCACGTCTGAGCGAGAAAGCGTCTGATCATTACAGGCGATCTTTGCAGAAACACGTGTGATTATCAGAGTGCATCACTCAGTGGTGAAATAAACCCAGGAACAGTCTGCAGTGAAGCGGCCTGGTTACTGCTACAGTTATCATCACAACACATCGGTGTAAGATGCTGCTGTGGTCGTGATCAGGATGACTGAATAAAATACTGATTTATTGATTAGACATGTTTTTGACATTTATTTAGGATAGACTGGTTTGTTAATTGAGCAACTTTTTCTCTTATACAAATTATACAATACCCAAAATTAGTAATTGAAAATAATAACAGCCCCATAAATCCCATTTACAGAGACTGTGGCTGTCTGAAATCACCCACTGCTCACTATATAGTGAGCTCGCCATTTTGTAGCGCTGTCCCAATTTATAGTGAGAATTATTATACCACTCAATGTATCCCAGAATGCATTTTGAAAAGTAGTGCACAACCGATGGTCACTAACCTAGCCGCCTGTACCATCATGCATTACGCTGATCAAAAAAAAATATATAAATAAACTAAAAAAACCTGACAATCAGACGGCAACAACGTAATTAACGGCACCGAAATAACGGAGAAGTGTCCAAAAGCGTTGTTTTAATAATGCGAGTGAGCTCACTATGTAGTGCTCTGCATACAGCTGCCTACGGGGGGGGGGATTTCGGACACAGCCTCTGTGGTTCCAGCAGCGTTCACTAAATCAAACTCTCATGGTCACGTCTCACTCAGGCCCCAGAGGGCCCACAGGCGACGGACTTTTCAGACATTGAACCATGAACCAGGTGTAAAGGGTAGTTTCCTCTCACCTTATTGGCCACGTCTCCAAAGGTGAGGTTGGTGAGCGCCATGCCGGCGTATCGCCGCAGCGTGACGCTGTAATGATCGCTGCTCAGACCGAACATCTCACAGTCCACCTGCAGCAGCTCTGCCACCGCCTGCAGACCTCCTGCAGGGGCAAATAACCCACAGACAGACAGCATCAGAAAACAGTTGGCGGAAACAGTCAGTCGGCGGAAACAGTCAGTCGGCGGAAACAGTCAGTCGGCGGAAACAGTCAGTCGGCGGAAACAGTCAACATCCTGCTCAAAAACATGAAACAAAGATGAAACAGTTTTAAAGGGGAGCTGAGGGACAAAGAAAAACTTGCAGGACGGGTGGCTAACACTGCCCACAGCAGCCGGACGCTCAACTCCTGCAGGTACGCTTCTCTGCTTCTGCACCCTCACACCATCTAGGGCAGGTAACACTCTGCCCTGTACATCTATCCCGGTCAGTAGATCCGGTGTCAGACTCACCGAGCTCGTTCATGGCGTGCCGGTGTTCTTCGTCAAAGGACAGCTTCATGAGGACGCAGACCGCCGGACAGATCTGATGCTCCACCGGAGATGGCACTGAGGACACATTTTATATATTAATATTTAGAACATTCAGCTGCAGCAGTGCGTCGTGGTCATGTGACGTGTGGCCTGATTGGTAAGTGTATGTGACATGACTCACTGGGGTTCTCCTCCTGGTCCACGCCCCTCTCGTGGTTCTCCTGCCAGGTCCAGCACGCCTCACAGTAATGACGCACCTGCTCCAACAGGTGGAGCACCCTGATCTCGCGCCGGCCTCTTTTATCGTCGGGCTGGCTGTGAACTATGTTGTGCAGCGCCGCCGACGCCCGCGCACGAGCCTCTTTGCTGCCGCGAGAGTTACCTAGGCATCGGGAGACCAACAGGTGAGTCAGGCAAGTTACCTCAAGAAGACAACCCACTTCAAATATTTGACCTCCACAGGAACTGACCTAGCAACAGGGAGTCCTTGTCGTTGCCGTGCAGCAGCTGAATGAGCAGCGGCAGACAGCCTGACTGACGCATGGCGATGCACGAGTCCTGTGAGCTTGACATGGCGAGCAGCGTCCGCGACATGTCGTCTTTATCGTGCGTCCCCAGCATGGACAGAAGACTGTACACCATCTCCACCTGTAATGGGTCGACGCAGAGGCTCACAGTGATTGGGTCCTGAGGGCAGCATGAGCAGGGCTGTTACTGGCAGAAGTACTAACCTTGGTTCCCAGGTGGCTGGTGATTCGTCGAGGCACAGAGTAGCCCGCCTCACTGGCCGGCTCATGGTCCAATCGGCTGCTGGAGCTCTGAAGGAGGAAAAGAACAAAAGATTAACTAAATGCCAAAAGAAAAGAAAGGGAAGTCGAGTGATGGAAAGGACACTCACCTGAGCTCCGGCCAATCCGCTGCTGTCACTCACCCCCTGACCTTCATCTACCTGGGGGGTGGGGGGGAGAGAGAGAGAGAGAGAGAGCGCGCTTGTGGTTTCACAAAAGGTAAGACAGGAACTTGAAAGTTCATGCTGTTCATGTTATCTGCTGCTGCTGCCTGAGAACCAAGCAGGAACCTCCGGGTCGGACAAGTGAAACCTTAAACCCGCATCCTCTCTGACAGCCAGCAGGGGGCGACTTAAACCCACTTCTTCTCTAGCAGCCAGCAGGGGGCGACTTAAACCCACTTCTTCTCTAGCAGCCAGCAGGGGGCGACTTAAACCCACTTCTTCTCTAGCAGCCAGCAGGGGGCGACTTAAACCCGCATCCTCTCTGACAGCCAGCAGGGGGCGACTTACACCCACTTCTTCTCTAGCAGCCAGCAGGGGGCGACTTAAACCCACTTCTTCTCTAGCAGCCAGCAGGGGGCGACTTACACCCACTTCTTCTCTAGCAGCCAGCAGGGGGCGACTTAAACCCGCATCCTCTCTGACAGCCAGCAGGGGGCGACTTACACCCGCATCCTCTCTGACAGCCAGCAGGGGGCGACTTAAACCCACTTCTTCTCTAGCAGCCAGCAGGGGGCGACTTAAACCCACTTCTTCTCTAGCAGCCAGCAGGGGGCGACTTAAACCCACTTCTTCTCTAGCAGCCAGCAGGGGGCGACTTAAACCCACTTCTTCTCTAGCAGCCAGCAGGGGGCGACTTAAACCCACTTCTTCTCTAGCAGCCAGCAGGGGGCGACTTAAACCCACTTCTTCTCTAGCAGCCAGCAGGGGGCGACTTAAACCCACTTCTTCTCTAGCAGCCAGCAGGGGGCGACTTAAACCCACTTCTTCTCTAGCAGCCAGCAGGGGGCGACTTAAACCCACTTCTTCTCTAGCAGCCAGCAGGGGGCGACTTAAACCCACTTCTTCTCTAGCAGCCAGCAGGGGGCGACTTAAACCCACTTCTTCTCTAGCAGCCAGCAGGGGGCGACTTAAACCCGCATCCTCTCTGACAGCCAGCAGGGGGCGACTTAAACCCGCATCCTCTCTGACAGCCAGCAGGGGGCGACTTAAACCCGCATCCTCTCTGACAGCCACCTGTCAGTCAGGATAGAGGCGGCTCGTGTGTGCTGCTCTGTAAACATTTAACCAGCGCCGCTGAAAAAGCTCATCAGGAGTCGGCTGCTCATTTTTCAGTGAGTATGTTTAGTTTTAAGCCTGTTTTTCGCTAGCTAAAATTAGCATCACAGTTAAGGTGAATTGCAGATGCACCTTGCTAACCAAGCTAGCTAGCTCCACTCTCTGGTTGGAAAATAATCAAGATGGCGGTGTCCAAAATGCCAAACTGGAGGCTTCCAAACGGCAGTCCACAAACCAACAGTGACGTCAGGGCGGCTCCGCCCACTTCTTTACACAGACTGTGGTGAAACCAGCAGTTCCACACATCAAACTGGTTTCCTGTTGCAGCTTGTGGATCAACAGAATCAGACCTGATCAACAAAAGCTGCCGACACTCAGCTGTGACACTCGCCACGCCCTCTTCTTCGGTGGTGGTTTAACAGCAGCTGCTGGAGAATCAGCTCCATCATCCAATGAGCTGGAGCTCCCAGAAAGAGCAGGTTTATTATGACGAGTGTCCGTTAAAGTCTAGATGTGTTGTAGTAAAGAACAGGTGAAGTTACCTGCAGGCGAACTCCCAGCCTCAGGATGTCCTTCTCTATTTGCTGAATACGAGACACACGAGCCTGAAGAGACACACAGACATTATTCAAACATGGGAGAAAATGAAATATTCTGCCTGTCTGAGAATTTTCAGGGTGTGTTTGAAGTCGTTTGAGAGCCAGTAGAGGGCTCACTGAAGGGAAAGTGTGTTCAGACAGGTGAAAATTAGCCTGCTGGCTAACACTGGCACATTTACAGAAATGTTGATTAATGTGCACTGTCCTTAAATAAATAAATGAAATGAAATGAAAATGAAAGAGCCTCCAGCTGAGTTCATACCTGAGCTCTCCTCTCCATCTCCTGACAGGAGCCCAACTGTTCCTCCATGGCTGAACGGATCTGACGAGCTTCAAACTCCAGCTGACGACGACTCATATCCGTCTGCAGAGTGAACTACAAACAGAAAACTACAACATTAACTCCAGCTGACTCGTCTGCAGAGTGAACTACAAACAGAAAATTACAACATTAACTCCAGCTGACTCGTCTGCAGAGTGAACTACAAACAGAAAACTACAACATTAACTCCAGCTGACTCGTCTGCAGAGTGAACTACAAACAGAAAACTACAACATTAACTCCAGCTGACTCGTCTGCAGAGAGAACTACAAACAGAAAACTACAACATTAACTCCAGCTGACTCGTCTGCAGAGTGAACTACAAACAGAAAACTACAACATTAACTCCAGCTGACTCGTCTGCAGAGTGAACTACAAACAGAAAACTACAACATTAACTCCAGCTGACTCGTCTGCAGAGTGAACTACAAACAGAAAACTACAACATTAACTCCAGCTGACTCGTCTGCAGAGTGAACTACAAACAGAAAACTACAACATTAACTCCAGCTGACTCGTCTGCAGAGAGAACTACAACCTGTATGATGGTTACACAGTCTGACTGTTAAATGAATCTGTAACTTTGGCTTAAAGTACTTTACGTTTTCAGTGAGCGGCAGACTGTCGATCCTCTTGGTGAGATTCTGCAGCTGAGCGTAGTACCAGTCCTTCTCCTTCTCCTCCTTCTCCAGCTCAGCCAATAGGAGAGATCTTTCAGGGGGCAGCAACCAATCACAGAGCAGGACAGGGAGATAGAGGGAACATTAATAATTTTACAAAAACCACAAATATGGTCACAAAAATGAATGAACGCTGAATCAGCAGTATACAAGCAGTAGTAGTATTTTTGGTATTGTTATTAGATGTTGCAGTATTAACAGTACAGTCCTAGTAGTATTTTCAGCAGTACTATTAGTGGTTACAGTATTATAGTAGTTGTACTCTTTATACAATCGTCTTTTCAGTTTTGTAATCAGTAGCAGCAGTGGTACAGTAGTGGTAGTACTCTCAGTAGTACTGTCAGTCCTCTCCACAGTACCTCTCCTTCTGCAGCTCCTCCAGGCACCGGTCGTGGCTGTCTCTGCCCGCAGATGGCAACCCTCTCCTGGGGAAGGCAGCGGTTGTCGGGGGGCCTTGAGCTCCGGAGCTTCCAGCCGCTCCTCCAGGAGCTCCGCAAGCTGAAGAGGCCGAGCTGGAGGAGGACGAGGGGGGCAGGGGAGACCTCAACCTGGGCTTAAAACCTGCAGAGTCCAGGCTCATCTCTGGAGGAGGCACACAGATAGATTGAACCGTGGAGACGAGGTGCAGCGTGTCAAAGCTTTAACATTTATATGTGCGACCGCTGGGCTTTCAGAGGTTTCACACATCCAGAGACCTGCCTGGATTGGAAGCGTTATATTCATGTGCTGATTGTCTGTATGCGTTTGTTTTCTTCACCTTTCAGTCTTTCGATGAGCTCCAGCTGACAGCCTGACGCCTCTCCAGACTCTTCTTCTATGGTGCCCTGCAGCTGCTTCAGCACTTCCTGTTGTCCATGAGAAAATAAAGGTGGTACAGAGTTAGTGTTTGCTGATGTGGGTAGCACAGTTTCATAGGTTTAATAACATCAATACATTATTGATCTCTCTAATAATCATAAAACGGCTGAAGTTGAAATCACGAGTACCAAAAACATGGAAACTGATTTAAGACCAGTTCAGTTCAATGTACTTTATTAGCATGAATGTTTAAGTGTGTTGCCCAAGCAGTCTGCAGCGAAATAAAGTTTACATTTGAATACAACATGAAGAGAATTAATGCAAAGATGGCTGTTCACAGTTTAGCAGCTATAAGTTCCAAGAACAGAAATAACTCTCTGCCTCTCTGTCTGTCTCTCGCCTTTAGTCTATCGCTGCTTCGTCCTTCACTCACCACGATGAAGCGACAGCGTTCAAACAGCGACATGATGGGAACTAACAACACTCAGACTGTCCGTGTGTGTTTTCTGCTCATCGACAGAAAACAGGAAACAGGAAACAGGAAATGGGAAGTGAGTGTGTGTTTGGAGAGGAAGGACGGGACAATAAAGAACAAAAAAACTACAGGTGAAGAAACAACAAAAAACAGGGAGACATAAAAATAAAAAAGCAGAAAGATTCCACCAGATAAAGAAGTAAAATAAGCCCCTTTTCCACCGCACAGTACCAGCTCGACTCGGCTTCGTTTGGTTATCCAACAACAGCAGGGGAAAACACAGCTGGAAGGTTTTCATACTGCTTATCTGAGGGTACTCTCCCTGGGTACTATCTGCAATGGAAAACGGAGCACGCCAAACCGAGGCGAGCCAAGGCGAGCAGATACTGGTAATGGAAAAGCGGCATATACAATACATACGACACCGATGATCACATTCTGATAAATAAATTTGCTGCTGTTCCCCTGGACTTTCAACACGCCGGATGATTTCCCCAGTCTGCCATTCAGTCTGTCTGAGTAACTTGTAGTGGCACTGTGTGCAGTATTTTTATACATTTCAGGGCCAATGTTATACCCACCTTCATGTTCGAGGCCTCGGTCTCCAGTTTGGTCAGGTGGTTGGAGTTGTCTTGCAGCTCCTGTCGCAGATTGGAGTTCTCCATCTTCAAAACCTCCACCTGCCTCAGCAGCTGGTCGTACGACGCTGCCGCCATGTTGGAGGACCCACGTCTGACCTGCACAGAACCACCAAGAATCGTGACACTGTAGTACTGTGGTACTCTTGGTCCAGGTAGTGAGACGCTAGCTAGTTAGCAGCTACAACTCAATTAAAATAGCTACAGTGGTCCGCCATGGGCTACTGCGGCGTAACCGGCCTTAATGAGCTACTGCGGCATTGTTCATGACGTCATGGGGCCGTAACGCCACCAGCTTAACGGACTAAAGGGATGTGAACAGTGAAGTTACTAAAACAACGTCCGCGCTGCAGTAACACCTTCACATCCTAAAACCTCCAGAGTGTGGCAGCGTTTCACTCTTCACTCAGCCAGAAAGGTCGTGAACTGCAGCAAAGCTCTCCTGGAAACACCGGAGCGTCTGAAGAGAAGGCGCGTAACGCTCCGTGAACGATCAAGACTCGTCTCGGTCAGCTAGTTAGCGAGCTAGCTGTAACGTTTTCTATACAGTTGGTCAATTTGATTGATTGTTACAGTAATGGCGCTGAGAGTAGCAAATAATTATGATACACAACGGCCGCGTTCACATTCCAGATGTGCCCTACTTTACAGTCAAACGCTGCATCGCTCATGGCGACGTTTGCAGCTGGAGAGCGTGTTGCTGCCGAGTGCGCAAGATCAGACAGCACCCGACAATTTCAAACTTTCTAAAGAAGAGAAAACTGTCTGTGCGGGAGGCGGCGGCTAATCCGCCACAAACTCCCGAGTTTTGTGAGTTGTTGAGTTAGAAGAAACTATATAGATGTTGTTAAACACTGTCTACTACAAAATTGTTATTATTGACCCCTCTTGTAAATTTGTCAAATGTAATGCCTGACGTTATTCCTGTCTTTGGATACAGGGTCAGTTTGTCCCGGCGTGAAAGCTGCTGAGATCAGTTGAACTTTCTGTTGCTGCGGCAGAAACGTTCATTAAAAGCATTTATTTTATTGTCTTGACCGTTAATTAGCACATGTCTAAAACAACCTCAGGTTTAATTTAAAAGCTGAATTTAAAAAACCACGTATGCCGATTGTGAACAGTTTCTCATTTGCAACGGTGACCTGGCCAAGAAAGTGTAGACGTGCAGAACAACATATAGTTACACTATGAATGAATTAAAAAAATACTTAACACACTAATGAGTCTGTAAGGAGAATATTTGAAAGTGCAGGTGCTGACCATTCAAGGAGGCAGGTCAGACTGTATGCGTAAATGGTATGGCAACAATAAAAATCTATCTAAAATATTCAAAATCTCTCTCTCTCTAAATAAAAAGTACAGAGATCTATAAACATTTTGTGCAAGTTGAGTTCTAACTGTCGACGTAGATCAGGTGGTGTGTAAAACAGTGTGGCAGTAGCGGTGGGAAGAATGATATTTGAGCATACTTGTGCAGATGGAATGGATCAAAAGAGCATAAAACAGGTGAAACTGTGCCACTAAGAAAGGGACATGACAGAGGACTTTTAGTAATGGTGTGCAAAAGTGAGTGTTGGAGGAGACCCAGCATGTACAGAGATCGGATAAGAGTTCAGACAGACGTGCTTTAAAGGCAGTGAGGGGGGTGAGCGTCTTTAGCATGAGGGTTTTGTAACTCATTCCAGTCTTTGGCAGCGGAGAACTGGAAGGAGTGGCGCCCGAAGGTGGTGTGGGCTTTTGGGGTGACCCTAAATGAGAGGCATTGTGTCATTTTGTGATTCATAATCCAAATAGTAGATTAATTGTGTCAATAATCGATTAATCGACTATGAAAGCAGTCGTTAGTTGCGGCCCGGCAGGCTGACGGGCGCTCCGGCAGGTCAGTGGGCGTCCGGCAGGCTGACGGGCAGAGAAACACTTGTTATGCATCACGGCGGATATTTTAAAGCCACAGCGAACACATCAAGACCACGTTGGTTTTGTTCTGATAAAGCCTCCAACCTGCGCCTGAAAACAAAAATCCCAAAAACGAGTGTTGTGTCTTTTCGGTGAATGGTTGGATAAATACTGTGACAATACTACGACTCTACCGGGATACTTTCTAATACACACAGCGTGACATACCGATACCAGCATGTCCCTGATACACAGTACTGCAGTACTACTGCAGTAGTACTGCAGTACCACCACACAGTACTTCGGTTGAGCCACAGTGAAGCGGCCTGACAGATTCTGTATTATTAACCCATCACAGCGATCAGATGTGAGCAGCTTCCTGTCTGGGAGCAGGACAGCCTCTCCTCCTCTTTCATTTTTTATTTCCTCCCTCTGCATCCATCCTCCATCACCGGTCGGCCATTTTCTCTCCCTCCTCTCTCCTCCCTCCATCACCCCCCCTCCTTCTTCTCTCTCCTCTTCTCTCCCTCCATCACAGGAAACTAAATAAATTCAAACCACCACAGAAGAAGGAAAACACACCAGAGAACAGACAATGAAAGAAGAAAAATACGACCCCCCCCCCCCCCCCAACGTAGCTTCCATCCCCCTTAATCCGTCTGACACACAACAATAAAAACAAAAGAAGAAGAGCGCGGGTGAATGAGCGCACAGAAGAAGAGCGCGGGTGAATAAAGGCTGATTGTGGATAAAGAAAGAGAAAATGGCAGCTCACCCCATCGCTGTAGCCTCCATCACCCTCCCTATGTCTCTCTCTCTCCGTCTGACAGAGAGCAGTCAGCTGGGCCCAGCAGCAGCCAATCGGGAGGCAGAGCCAGAGCCTCCTCCCCCTCCCTCTCCCAGCATGCTTTGCAGCGGCCGCTGCAGGCAGGCTGTCCGGGTTACAGAGACACAGAGCGGCACTGTGCAGCCTGATCAATACTCTTCTTCATGTGTTCAGCAGCTCACAGTAAAGCAGAAAGCTAATCGTTGTTTTCATTATTATCAGTCCAAACGATATCTGCTCTCTTTCTGGTATCCGTGAGCTGAGACCGGCAGGTGGCGTGGAAGCACCGCAGGCTGCCGATCGGTCCGAGAGAGATAACCCAGCTGAGCTGCTAACGTAAGCTCAGGTAGTTTTAGTTCATGTGAGCGCCATCAGAGAAACTGCACCGCAGACCTCCTTCAACTTTGGGTCCGAGCCAAACGTAGACCTGAGAACAGGCCTGCAGGATGGAGGATCAGCAGAGTTCACTGCAGCGATGACCAGCTTGATATTTTTGATATTAAATGTACTTAAAGAGGCGGTATTCTGCTTTCCCCTCTCCTTTGAGTTATAAACCTTTTTTGTGCTGTAACAGGTTTGCAAAGTGAAAAAGCCCAAAGTGAGTTCCCACAGAAAACTCTGCTCTCAAAACAGCTCGTTTGTAGTCCAGCCGCTTCCCTTTCATCCCTGTGACGTCACAGGGATGAAAGCTAAACGCGCCTCATATAACGAAACAGCGAGCTGCAGCACACAGCTCTCCTCTCCCTTCCAAACACTAGCTACCCTCCAGGCAGTCAGTGGACAGAAAGTTGTTCCTGTGATGTAGAGACAGAGCTCAGTTAAAACTTTATGGATACAGATTAATAACTCGCCGCTCTGAAACTCTCGCTCCAGTCCGGACGGCTGAACCCGAGCCGTTTACCGGCCTCTCGCTGACCCATGTGAGCATGTGCAACTCTCAACAAAGATCATTTAGAGACAAGATGTATCACTCCATAGCTAAAACGAAGCCTTCAACACAGGCTGAAAAGAGGAGCTGCAGCAATGTGCAGGATGACAAAAATATAACCATGGAAACCTGCTCTGGTACAAACTCTAAATAAGGTGAGGAACCTGATGAGCAGAAAACCACCTCTTTAAGACTGTTTGTAAGACGCTTATTCATCAGGAATGGAAAGCAGAGACGTCGGGTAAATGTTTGGGGAAGCCAAGTGAGAGGGGACGTCCTTTATTGAGCTCAATTATCTAATGTACTGTGCAGGGAAAGATTTACACTAAACCGAGTCATATTTTAAAGATGCACACCGTTATCAAAACACACGCGCTCAAAGTTGCATTTACCGACACGTGCGCGCTCTCTCTCTCAGCTCGATGCTTACAGTAAACAGTACACACAGGTTACGGTTAAGAATAAAAGAAGCATTCACAAGCTCCATCAGGATTCAAGTTTTACATTTGCATAGTAGCAGCGGTGCAGGTATCAAACAGGCCTACACACTTCTTATTTAATGCTTGGCCAAATGTTCATAACACCGACCAACACAGTATTATTCAGGCAGGTGCCGTCCGGAGCTCATTATCTATGCGTACACAACCACAGTAAAAACAATCAGGTTACTTCACAGCTAAATCCAGGCAAGCAAAGCAAAACCAACAATATAACCACATCAGAAATCACACACCGATTTCTGATGGTCACATATATTCAGTTCAGTGAGGAGGAGGAGACCTTTCACTCCCCCCATCTGAAAAGGAAGCCGTTCTCCTGTCTGTCACGGTGAAGTGGTCGATAACCAAGTTGTAGAATTTCCCACTGCAACAGAGTCAGCTGAAGTCTGGCGCTACCAGCTGGCCTCTCTGTAGGGATCTAGTTTTCCTCATCGAACCCCTTTTTCCCCTCCAGGCGCAGCTCCAGCGTTTAATACATTTAATCTTCCGTTGCTCCTGTAGTCGCAGTTTAGTAAAACTATTATTTTTATTAAATAGCCACCGCGAGTTGTAACGTAAGTTAATAGTGCACCTTTTTTTTTACCAAGTGAAGTCTGTGTGAAACTAACAGCAGCCCAGCGTTCCTGTTGGTTGTGTGTCGCATTGAAACTGGTCCCCGCTGTACCGGGGCTATTTGTCGACACGTAGTCGATTACGTAAATACGTCGACTCAAATTACGTGCGCGGAAGCGTCGCTGCATCAGGTGTTAGCGGGAGCTGCAGCTGCCAGACCGCCCCTTAGCCCCTTCGAGTATTTCAGGCTTGACAGCGTGCTGCTTCTCCGAGGGCTTCACTGCAGCACAGCTGCTGTCCACCAACACGTGGAGCCAAAGGATCCCGCATCGCTGACGGCAGCGCCGCACATCCTGTTTCCTTTGTCCACACGAGCGCGGCGCCTCATCGACACGAGGACGCGTAGCGTTTCTTCATCGACTTCATGTTGACGGTCATTTCTGCGCCGCTGCTGTCATGGTAACGTTACACCGCGTGTCAGCTAACATGTTTCCTGTTTATTTAGCGGCCACGTCAAATACCAGCAGCTGTAGTTTCTGTAGCACTGGTACTAAAAACCAACAATAGTACTACTACCATCTGCAGTAAACCTAATCTCAACTGAAGTGGGAACGTTAATGTATAGCCGCATGTCGTCTTTCCGCCGCTGGTTGTCGAGGTGGTGTCCAGCAAACGATGTGGGCTTTGTAGATCATTGGCAGACTTTCTGGGGAAGACCTGGTCTGATCCGGAGAGACGGCATCCATCCCACTTGGGAAGGAGCAGCTCTCATTTCTAGAAATCTGGCCAAGTTTATTAGTGGACCAAATCCATGACAACCCAGAGTTGAGACCAGGAGGCAGAGTCGCAGTTTAACACACTTCTTATCCGAAAACCCTATAGTGACGGTGTCTGCCCCCCGACCATCAAAATTATTTAAATCAAAGGTAAACAGAAGAGGAGCTGTGCATAAAAACCATATAAAAATCATCAACCTCATAAAAATTAAAACCACAAGAGCAATAATGCAAACTAATAGGAGAGTTAAATGTGGACTCTTAAACATCAGATCTCTCTCTTCTAAAGGTGTACTAGTAAATGAACTAATATCAGATTATGATATTGATTTATTTTGTCTTACTGAAACCTGGCTGGGTGATGGAGAATATGTTAGCCTAAATGAATCCACCCCTCCCAATCATATTAATACTCACATTCCTCGAGGCACAGGCCGAGGAGGTGGAGTTGCAGCTATCTTCGACTCTAACCTACTAATCAG